ACGGGACAAAAGGAGGTAACATCAAAGGGAACAGAGAGCAGCAGAAATCGGAACTGACGTCCAGACAGAAACATCCAGGGGAGGAAGCAGGCAGGAGAACTATCAAACGTGGGGCTTAGGAAAATGTTCAACATAAACATAAGAAAGAGTAGGACACAAAATCTTATATAGGATCATGGCATACGTTCCATTTTTACAAAAATATTCACAGGAAATTCATCAAAATAGAAGTAGTTTGCTCTGCATGGAAAGTCAACCATTTTTTTAAAAACTCATTCTTTCCTACAGTTTCTAACTCTATTAAGAATATACTTTCTTGTACATTTTGTATATTTTTGAAGCACATTCATTTCAAAAAGCAGCTTACCTTTCTTAATGAAAATTCTATGGTTGTATAACTCCCTTGAGAAAAACTGGTCAAATGGCAAACCATATTTCATAAGACATAATACCATCCACAATTAATTCTCGCATCTTCGTGAGACTTCACTCACTATGAAATTATAATAGTGAAGCAATCACCCTAGTTGTGGGTTTTCTTTCTATTCTAAAAATTCACTAGCTGCGAGAGGTGATGGAATTGACAGCAGGTATCTTGCTGACGGTTACCCGATTACTCAGTAATCACTGCAGTCACTCATGAATTGCATGCCCCTGCCTCGAGGCTCTTCTACTTCAGTCTGTGTGACTGACTCACCTCAAGTGTCATCCTCTCAATAACATCTATTATGTTTATCCTGACTATGAGAGTAAAGTGCCCCTGTCACCACCACCGTCACCACCACCACCACAGGATTCCTGATATTCTTTTACCTGCTTTGTTTTCAATATACTTATCACCTAATGTATGACATAATTTATTTATTATATTCAATGTGTCTCACCACCTAGAATACAAGTTCCTGAGATACACATGGATTTTTATTCTTTTGTTCCCAAATATGTCCCTGTTGCCAGAACAACCCCTGGCACATAGTGGATGCTCAATAAATATTTGCTGAATTAACACATGCATGAATGAATAATGCATAAAAGAATAAATGCCTATTAAATTTTAAAAATCATACACAATTATTTTATAAATGAATATTAGTCAATGTTTTTTACTATAGAAATCACTGATTTTTCTGCTTAAACATGTGTGAAGACTTATTTAGCTTATGGGGTTCAACAAAGTTCACTCTTCACAGATATGTCTATTAAAGTTTCCTTTAGATTCAAAAAGGTGAGAATTATATAAATCAAATAATTTCTCTAATTAGTTAAATGTATAAAAATTAAATGGTATAAGCTTTACCAATAAATAATGAAAATAAGTTTCACTTTTTGGGATTAGAGCTTCCAAAATAGCTCATTTAAAAATATTCATTTGCTGTTGAGGACCACTAGGGAACACTGCTCACAATTTCTCATTTAACCACGTTTGTCTGTTTTTTTTCATCGCTAGTAATGAATCACAAGAATGAGGGCAAATGCACAAGAAGGAAAGGGCACACAATCAGCTTACTCCAATTTTAAAGGCAATTTAAACTACTTTCACTTCACTATGTCTTGTAGTTACAGCACCACCTGGTGTTTACTATGCAGAAATGCTATGAGGGCAAGTAATGCGAAAGTCCTGTCAGTTTTTAAAAAAGGTTTAGGCAGCTGGACAAAATGATATAAGCATGTGACTAAGTGACAGAACACATGTTTAACGTGGAAATCTAGAAGTAAAACTGAGAAATCAGTGTGGCATAAGAAGAATAAGCCACGTAGATAACTTTCAAACAAGAATGCTCTTCAAGGAAAAAAGGACCACGGCAGAACACAAGTTAGCTATTCGTGGAGGAAACACTGGAAAAACATTCTAGAACTTTGTGCATAAACCATTTCAAAACGCAAATTTGATAAAAAGTAAATTATTTTTAAAAAGTTTCTATTTGAGTCCCCAGGAGCTCTAATTATAAGGCTTCACCATAATACAGCCTCAACCCTTAATCCCCACGTGGGGACAGCACTGGAACAAGGCCTCGGTACACTGCCAGCTCCCAGGTCACCACCATGCACTCCATCACACCAGGGCAGGCTGTTGTAGCTTGCTCAGTATCTGCAGCTTAGGCCAGTTTCCCCCTTGGCCAGTGCCACTGCCTCTACATTCACAATGACACCGATGTTACTTACACCAATATAGGCTTTCCTGATATCCTAGGATGTCTTAGCACTTCTGACATTGTCTCTTTTGTCTCTTCCATTCTCTCTTCATCACTAGAATCCACAACAAATATTACCCCATAGGACTCAGCATAGTAATTCTTCCAGATTCCCCGAATTCTTTTTCCACCTCCCAAGTCAAAGATGGTGACTTCGAACTTTCCTTGTCTAAGGTCAATTTTGGAAAATCCAACAGTAGGAGCTACATCTTCAGGATACTCTGTTTTGAATGATATAAAAGAAACAATCTTTAGACTTTAAATTAATAACAGTTTAACTTCACAACTTAAATGACATATAAAGTATATACTTTAATAAGAAGGAATGTGATCAAATGGAATGCTGGAAAAGAATGTTTATTATGTCCTCACAGAATGAGCATTACATCTAAGCATACTAGCTTGGGGGAAGGGTGGATACTATAAAATACCCAACTAGAATTTACACTCCATGCAGATAGGAATTTCTGTCTGTTTTTGTTCGTTAGTTTTTATTAATATAAACCCATCTCCTAGAATAATGCCTAACATATAACAGTTACTTAGTAAGTATCTGTAGAATGAATAAATAAATGAACTTTTGCCTTTAAGACTATTTACTCTCCAAGTTACAAACAATAAAAATTTCAACCCTTCAACACTACAGACATCTCCAGGAACCATAACAACCTCTGTGGAGTTATTAAAAAAAAAAATCTGACCACTTAGAGAACAGTTTAAAAGAACAAAAGTATGGCAGGAGCTTAAGAGCAGGACCACTCTTTTTTAATTAACTGAATTCAAGCTATAACTGGAATAAAAAGACTTGTGAGGGCAGTTTACAAATATAAAGAGATTTCATTACTTCTACAGGAACATGCTTTAGATGTTCTTGTAAGTTAATAATTGAATTTTTTCTCACCTGTATATGACAACACAAAGAAGGTACAGGCTATATACGATTGTAACTGCCAAGGAGTGGCAGTGAGAACAAGAGATTAAAAAGATCACTAAGGTTCAAGAACGACTTAAACTACAAGCTGGGACTTAGGCCTTAGAGTTAGGTAGGATTCAGATGGAAAAGTGATCTAAGTAACAGGAATGGCAAAGGCAAGAAGTATGAACTAGCTGAACACTGTGGGTGAAGCGAAGCCTTGAGATTGTGAATGCAGGCTGAAGAGAGCTCTGAAGACAGAATTGCAAGCTAAGGAAGATATTCCAGCTGACCAACAATATAATTAAGGGGACTAGGTGGGACTGAGAAACAGACTTGTAACACAACACTCCCTTTCACCAAGCACTTTAGGACACTTTACACAGCTCCCAAGAAAGTTAACAGAGACATCACAAGTCACATTTGTAAGACTTTCTTATCTAGAAGGAGGAAAGGGCAAGTTTAGAAGCAATATAAGCAGCAGGATATTCCAAAAACAGGATTACACTAGACATTTAAAAATGTGAAATCTAGTGCAGGCCAGAACTGACTTCCACAGTTAAAATAGGCAGCTGTCTTTGAGTAGGATTTGAGAGAGACTCTCAGGACATTTTCAGTGAAAATAAACAACTACACTGGAAAGAGATAAAGGGACTAAAATGTACAGAACATCTACTCAGTACCAGGATTTGTTAGGCGTTAGGATGCACAGATAAATCACAGGGTTGCTGTCCTCAAAGAATACACAGTGTGATACAGAAAGGCAGAGTATTAATGAGAGCAGAGTAAGAACCAGTATGTTCTGTGAAAACTCTAGATAGTGTGAAGGTGTCACAGACTGCATGTCTGTGTCCTCACAAAACTCTTATGATAAACCCCTGACCCCAAAGTGATGGTATTTGAAGGTGGGGCTTTTGGGGGTTGATTAGGTTTAGGTGAAGTCATGAGGGTGAAGCCCCCATGATGGGATTAGCCTCCTCATAAGAAGAGACACAAGAGAACTTGTTTCCCTCTCTTTGCTCCACCTGAGGACACAGAGAGAAGACACCAGGAAGAGGAGTCACCAAGCATCTGACCATGCTGGCACCGTGACTGCAGACTTCCAGTGTCTGGAACCATAGGAAGTAACTGTTTGCTGTTTAAGCCAGTCTACGGTATTCTGTTACAGCAGTCCCAACTAACTAAGACAGTGGGCACTGTCTATAGCATTCCGTTACAGTAGCCCAAACGAAAACAGAGGGCGTTCAAGAGGAAAAGTGTAAAGAGAAGGAAGGGGTGAGTTATAATCTAGAGAGGCTTCAGAGGAAATGAAATGGGAGTGAAGTATTAAAAGCTACAAAATTATAACAAAAAAGGGAGAAGAACATTCTAGGCAGGAAAGCAATATAAACACAGATAAAATGATGGCAATGTTCCCAGGAAGCCAATTCAGATTAAGTAATTTTTTCAAGGTTACATGGTAGACAGAGCCAGAACTCAAATCCATGTCTTCAGGACTTTAAATGCCTGTTTCTTTTGGTACATGGAACACCCTACCCTCTTTCTCTATTCTTTTTTTTTTTTTTTTTAAATATATCTTTCTTGATTTCAAAGAGAGGAAAGGAGAGGGAGAGAG